GGTTAACTAACAGCTGGTGTATGGTTGAGTGGGGATATAAATTCTGGCCTTGGCTGCATACTGAGTAACAATGGCCACTCTACAGGGATAGTTACTGCTCTGAACTCAAAATTCATGCTTGTCAGGTCAGCGGGGAGAAATTGAACCCATCTGGAAGCAAACTCCACCCCTGGCAATACAGGCTTTAGAGCAAAGGTTTTATTTATTATTATTATTATTTGAAAATAATTATGCAGCTTTATTTTAAGGATTTGTCAATATTCTTTGCTACAGCATTAAGTTAATTTTATATTTTCATATATATATAAATATTTACATCATTCATTTTGTACAATTTTTTATTTCTCTTCTCAGGTGTAATCCCCATAAAATTCCCATCACTAAATCACTGGTGAACCCTCACCATGGTCTCTTGTGCTCTTCCTTGTTATTTTGAGCCGTCTCCTTCCCCATCCCCTGCTGTATGCCTCCAATTTATAGTTTTCCTACTATTAATAGTTTTCTTTTTTCTGAAAAAAAAATTTGCTTGGTTTCCCCTATATTCCTCCTATAAGTGAAACCATCCGATATTTATGTTTTTCCTTCTGACTTATTTCACTGAGAATAATCCCTTCCAGTAGAGCAAAGGTTTTATACCTGGGTTGGTGGATAGAAGTCATGGGATAAATGGACTTGGATGAGAAACACCTGCATCTCATTGTTGTTAACCTCTAATTTAGTATTTCCTTGAGTATCGTGTACATGACCAACCACAGCATCCTCTGTATCTTTGTCACCAAAATAAATTACAGATATTTTTATATCACATCACATTATTTACAGGGATCTCAAAATACTCTTCACATAACCGATTGCTGGTTCACATTTATAGTACTTAAAAGACCTGCTGCTAGACTTTATTTAATATGTTAACCAAGAAAAAAATATATAACTATGCTATATGTTAGTTTTTCAAAATGTCTTGCAGTCTGTGCTTAAATATAAACCATTGGTTTTATTTATTTTATGCATTTCAAAAATTCTGAAAAAGGCTCACCAGACTTTTAAATGAAACCAGGCACAAAATGGTCCAGATGCCCTAGTGTAGTGCCAGCAAGGCACAGAGCTGGTTCTTTATGAACCAGCAGATAGGTGAAGGAGAGTCCTGGAGCCCTCAGTGGCTTTTTCAGGCTTTTATTGAGCTTTTTACATCATTTGTAGTGCAGCACCCAGGTACACAGCAGGCAGGAGAGCTGGGGGGCTGGGAGGCTGGCCTTGTGGGATGACCCTCTGAATCAGGGCGTCTGGACCTCAGCACTGCTAACCCCAGGCTGGGCAAGTCCTTGCTGTGGGAACATCCTGTGCACTGTAGGGAGTTTAGCAGCACCCCTGGCCTCTTCTTGCTGGATGCCAGTCATGTCCCACCACCCCTTATAACAACCCAGAAGGTCTCCAGGCCAAAATTACCACTGCTGAAAACCACTGTGCTAGATGTATATTGTGATATCAGAGGAATATTGGGGGTTATAACTGTAATGTCTCAGTGCCTAAGCACTCAGTCAATGAAGCTTTTAAAAAATCTTGTTTTTGTTAGGACGCCAGATTTCAGTGAGTGAGAATCAAAAGGGATTGGTCTCATGGCCCGAGATTCCAAAAGAAAGGCCCTTAGCAGCGCTGGCAGCTGGCATCATGGTAATGCTGACCAGGACTCCAGAGGAGCCAAGCTGGGGGAGCATCCAGGTGGGAAGGGCAGGGAGTTGAGCTTGATTAAGGGTTTGGACCTGATCTGAATGGAGCCTTTGAAAACAACCCCACTGTAGAGGAAGTTCTTTTAAAGGCCATAATAGCGGGGAGGCACTGCTGCCCCCTGATGGAGAGTTCAGGGATGACAGGCATTTTTTTTTTTTTTTTTTTTTTTTTTTTTTTTTTGCGGGACCGCTCCAGTGGCTGGGGAATGAACTAGCACTGCAGAGGCTGCGGGCAGCCTCGCAGCCCAGCGCTCAACCACTGCACCACTAGGGGAGGCCTATTCTTTATTCCTTTATATACAGAAAGGCAAAGAATAGGATATTGAAGGCAGCTACTGTTGTTGAGTGATCAATCTGCACCAGGCGCTGTTAAAATAGTTCATATTATCATAGTATTTTAATCCTCACAATGAACTATGATATGGGTGTTGTTAGTAGCCTCACTTGACAGTCGAAAGATACGACGATAGGAGACTTAAATGTCAAGATGTGCTAGATGTACATTATGCTATCTGAGGAATATTGGGGATTATAATTGTATAATTATAATATTGGGGATTATAATTACCTTGCTCAAAGGTGATGTTAACTTCTCAAAGTGGCAGAGTTGAAATCAAACCCAAGTCTGTCATATTTCAATATCCATAAGTTTAACCAGTGGGTTATATGGCCTAAATACCCACCCCTCGACCCCAGAAACCCAAAGCTGATTTGCTAAAGCAATGTTAGTGGTCACCTCGGAGGCTGGGGTGAGATGCTCCTTGGAAACAGTGTTTGGCCAAAATGGAGATGGTGGGCCTGTGACCCATGAACTTGTGTATTCAGTGCTGATGTTAGACAAGTGGTTGATAAAATTCACCATAAGACCATAAGTTAAAAAAGAACAAGTCATGCCAAACTAACTTCATTTTCTTTATGGCTTTGCCTTTCTATGGGGGTGGGGGAGATCTGCATATGGGTCTCCATAAGTGACTGCTTCCATTTCTCGTGAAGTCCATGAGTTAGATCTAGAGAGTGAGCTTGATAATACCAGGCTGCTTTCTCATGGGCCCTCAGGGACCTGCACAGTCACTATGAGCTCAGGGTCTCACTGGCCAAGTGGAGATGGATGGCTCTCTAATCAGTGTGGAAGATGTTGCCATGACATGCACGTGGAGAAAAGCAAACACCTACAAGCAAGTTGATTTCACTGTCTGGAATACTGGGCTGGGGAGCCAATATGACAGCACTGGCTGGATTAAATAACGAGCATAGCTAACAGCTTTCAACCTCATACTCAATGCCAGGCAAGATCCTAATCACTCAAATAGAATAACTCATTAGTTCCTCCCATCACCTCTGTGAGGTTGGTCCTATTGTTTTCCACATTTTGTAGTTGGGGAAACAGAAGCAGAGGAAGGTGTCACAGCTGTGGACAGTCAAGACGGAGAGTTTCATGCTGCGCTGGGGATTCCCCTTACAGCAGGGACAGACCAGCCTACATGTGAGCAAAGACATCCCAGTGCCATGGGCCCACCCGTCTCCTTTGGCAAACTCCCTGCCTTCCTGGTGCAGTGGAGGCCACTTCCAAGTGTTCACCAGGCAGCTGATTTATAATTCCCCGTGTGTGCGTGTCATCTCAGACACTTAGGTGCCCTTGGCATGAAGCTCAAGGATAATTCATGGGTATTCATTAAATGTCAATGAGAGGGTCGAACTCCATCCAGAGTTGAGAAATTGGAGGAGTTGCAGAGTAGGGAGGGAAGGTGCAAGCCAGTGGAGCTTGAAAGCTAACAGAGGTGTACAGGGCAGGTGTGACAAAATCACAATTAAAACCCAAGTGGGCAGGGAGGACATAGGGAAGAAGTTTGTTGAACGCCAGAATGTGGTCTGTGGGCCCTTGTGGAGTGTTGTTTCCAGAGGCCCCCGGGTGGACTGGGTAGGGGACCATGTAACACCCTCACTGGCTTAGCATGCCCAGAATTCTATGAAGTCTACAAAGATTCCAGTTTTGAAAATTTAACTGCTTTCCTAATCCTTTTAAAAGTACTGCAATCAAAAGACATAGAGGAACCTTAAATGCTAGGTGAAAGCGGCCAGTTTGCAAAGGCTCCATGGTGTGTGAACCCACTGCAAAAGGCAACACCATGGAGAAAGCAAAAAAGATCAGAGGTTGCCAAGGGCTCCAGGGGATGAACAGGCAGAGCACAGGGGTTTCAAGACAGTGCAGCTACGCTGTGTGATACTATCATGGTGGATACAGGCCAGATGGGGAAGGGATATGGAACTGTGTATTTTCTGCTCATTTTTTCTGTAAACCTAAAACTGCTCTAAAACATAAAGTCTATTAAGAAAACACAGAGCTTTCTGTGCTGCCCCGCAGCATCCCTAAGATACATTGCTGACATGCTAATGTAAAATCACAGAGATACTAGAACTACCGAGAAGGGCAGCCTCCTCACTCCCTGAAATGGGTATTATAAAAACAGATACAGCCCACAGGAACCTAACTTGTCCGCATACTTTCCATCCATACCTCCTTCAAGTACACAGTCAGTGAACAAGCTTCCTAGCATGGGAAACGCTACACAATTTTAACAAGATTGGCTTAGTCTTTTAGTTGCTTTGAGCCAATATACTATAGTGGACTCCAGGAGGTGCTGTTAGCCTCTGCTCCTGGCCAGGGGTCCAAGGACCCATCAAGGGTGGCCAGACAGCTGTGGCTGCGGCCTCGTGTCCCCCACCCTCATCCCCTTCTCAGAGTTTCTAGAGCATAGACCCCCTCCTAAGTGGTATTAAGTTCTGGGTACCCAGTGAGAGGGAACTGGGATGAGTGTCAAGTGTTTTGTGGAGATGCAGGGTTAGCAGGAGTGGGGACTAAGAGAGCTGGGTGATGTTGACTCTGGATTTAAAAAGAGGTAAAAAGCAAGGAAACAGACTTTGACGCTGCCAGAGCTGAAAGAAATCTTGGAGACAGACCTATCTGTTTTACCTTCTCTCTATTTGAAGAAACTGGGGCCTGGAGGGGTCTCCCAGAAACACAGTGCACTTCTAAGCTGGGTTAGATGTCCCTGGCTCCACAAAATTGAGTGGATCTGCAAGGCAGCTCTGGACCCTGCCAGTTTTTCCCCTCCTCTTCCTACCAGGTCTGAACTCTGACCTCTCAGTGGCCTCCCAGGCCCCTCAGGGAACCACTTGCCTCTGTACAATGGTGCCTGGGCCTCTCTGGTCTGGGCCCCACCTACTTCTCCAGTACCTTCTCTCTCCCCTTCCACTCACCTTCCCCTCCCCCGACCTGCTCTCTACCCCAAAGTCTAGGCCCAGGACATACAACCCTCTGTACTTCCCAAACCCACCTGGACCTCAGGTGCCCCCGCACCCCTCCCCAGCTCTGCCACTCCCAGTTTGGCTGCTTTTGCCTGTGGGCAACCTCAGCTGAGCGGGCCTGGGTCTGAGTCTCCTGCTCCGGCCCTGGTCTGTAGCAGCTGCCTCCAGTCCTGGAGCGAAGACAGGGCCTGCCAAATAGCAGATACTTACTAAATATTTAGTGACTAAAATGAGGGTCTATAAATATAAATTCTTCTAGGCCCCAAGCAGAAGACATTAGTCTCCTTATTATCTCTCTCAGGTGCTGTCCCATCACCTTGGCCTCAAATCTTTATGGCGATTGGGTTTCCTTGGCCGCTTCTGAGGACCAGGGGCCAGGGTTCCCGCTGGCTCTAAATGCCTTGATGAAGCTTCTAAACAAAGCAGGTTGAAGCTCTTCCACAGGTAAATGGGCCGCTTAAAACTGCATTGCAGGTACCCAGGGACTGATTTCCAGTCCGGTGTTGTGAGGGTACACGGCCTGCCGTCTCAGTTAAACACGGCTGCGTAGGCGCTGCACACCGCGTTAGATTTTATGATCTCAGAGCCTTTCGAGCTAAGCATCTGCCCTCCCTGCTAAGTGCCTGCTGCTCCCTGGAGTCCTGTTCCTGCTGCCAGGCCAGGCATCTTTACTCTCGACCTTCCCCTTTATCACGTTGGAAAAGCATGGGCATTAATTTTTATGTATTAAATCCAAAATAAACAGTAAAATTAGAGAAGTGGGCTAGTCTTAATCTACGGGGTTGCCTGTGGAAGGAATCTGAGTCCTTCAGGGTCCCTGGGGAAATTTCTGAGGTTGTTCTACCCTCCCTATCAGAACTTTCTGAGCATTTGCAGAGAAGGAGTGTGTTGGGAGGCAAATGGTCAAGGGCTGCAAACCTCCTCTGTACAGAAAAGTTTAGCCAACAGAAGCTGGAGGGGGCTCCTGGGAGGGGGATCCATGGGAACATTCATATCACAGCCAGCTTCTTGGGGGCAGCCCTGAACAAGCATCACCTGCAAATGCACTAGAGGGTGGCAGTGGCCAAGCAGGACACAGGTGTGCCTGAATGAGCCACCCACAGGACACTCTCCCTCACACACAGGGAGCACCCAGCCATTTATAAAAAGTCTATGGTGTGATGTGACTTACATCAGCTGTCATCCACACCATATCCAGCAAGGAAGGCAATGGTAACCCAACTCTATTTTACACCCGGAGAAACTGAGACCCAGGGAGGGTGACTACTCCTAGGGGGTGGGGTGGGAGAGGGCTCTGAAGTCAGGTGGTCGCAAAGCCCACATCCTCCCATGATGTGGACGACCTCAAGAAGCACACTGAGGCACTGGGGCGAGACTTGGGGAGGAGGGCTATCTGGCCTGCCAGGCCTGGAGTGGCTAGCAAAGGAGTTGGGGAAGCAGCTGGACCAGCTGGCAAGCTGTGGCTGTGAACCTCTGCATTTGCCCCAACTGCCAGGCCTGCTGTGTGGCCTGGGATGAACATCTCTGCAGGAGCAGGAGGCCACCTTGCCCATGTGGCAGCTGCTGGGACGGGTATCATCAGGCAGGAAAAGTTCTAAAGATCCCACACCAATGAGTCACAGACTTGCAATTAAAAAAAAGCTACATGAAGTGTGAAGACAGCCTGTGACTTCTGCCATGCTTTTGACAGGGAATAAGTCAGCTAGAACCCCCCGCTTTGCAGATCCTAGAGACCTGTCTGTGAGCTGCAACGGCACCCTGGGACCTCAGCAGCACGCTCCTGCCCAGAGTCCTGAAGATGCATCTTTCTCCCAAGGTAGAAAGCCCTTAGGTTCTCTCTCCACACCCCTCTAGGTGCCAGCCCACAAGGCCGCCTGTTTGTTCTCATACCAGCTAATCCCTGAGGCATGTGAGAAAGATCATTCCATTCACGCCTTGAGGGCCTCTGGGACTCTTAAATCATAACAGTCAGAATCACGACATGCTGGGGATATTGTGAGGATTCTTTACTGCCACAAAAGCTCCCTATGATGAAGTAAGTCAGTCATGGTAAACAACATTTATGGACAAGAGAGCCACAAGCCAAAGGGATGGAGGGGAAGGTCCAAATGTTCTGGCTAGGCGCTGTCTGCTGCTGCTAGTAGTCAGGCATTTTCTTCCTACACGCATTTTCTTCCTTTTAGAATAATGACAAGACTAATACCTGGATGTATGTGGTACCTGTGGTACGTGTCCCCCAGCATGGGAAGGCTGGAGAGGCACCTATGTACTCCGCTGGTAGGTAAAGAGACTGTACTCTGCTGCTCTCTACTTTGGGAGGGAGAGTATTTTCTAGAAGGAAGAGCCCCAGAGACAGCCCTGCTTGCTTTTTTCCACCTCTCCTTTGGGAAATGAAGCACTTACCTGGTGATCTCTGAGACTCACTATCCATTTAGGGGGCATGGTGACCTGGCTAAGACCGGCTCTGGGAAGACTGCTGGGGGAGGTTGCCCACAATGCACCCTGGACCTCCTCCACCAGCCGCCCAGCCACCTCTCTCTTGGCAGGCCCAGTGCCACATAAGCAGGTATTCACGAAAGCCAGCTCCTTCCACAGGGCTTGTGGTACGAAGTTGTGCCAGTGACAAGTAAGGCCACCACTAAAGGAAGCTACCCTTCCTAACCAGTCACCAACATGCCCAGCACGCTACACTGATCTGCTGGTGGAGCTACTCCCAAGTACCGGGTGAGGCAAAAGCCCCAGGTTACTCCTTTAGCCTCTTAACTTTCTTAACTTCCCTCCTCTGCTTTACCTCCCTCACCATGGATGCTGTCACTGCCCTCCCTGCCTACCTGACTCCATTCTACTATTAAAGTCACGCTTCAAACTGTCATTTTCTTTTCAATTTTTAATCAGTCTGTGTCAAGAAGAAACAGGATTTGATCAAGCTTCCAGCTCCTTCCGCTCTATCAGCATAGCAATTTTACGGATCAGAGTTTTGTTTATATTTGTCTAAAACCCAGAGGAGAAAAAGAATCAACAGCATGGATCGACATGTATTTAAAGAGACACTGTGGGACTCGGGGAATTCTTTAATCAATCATTTTCTTGGGAACAATGCCTGGTGGCACCAGAGCCCTGCACAGGAGGAAAGCAGAACTGGCAGGCAGGTGGGGCAGCCGAAGGCCTGAAAGCCGAAGGGCAGAGCTGTCTTGGGGCTGAGAGTCCAGCCTGTGGACACTGCTGGACCAATTAAAAGGGGGAACACTTCAACCTCACAATTTATTTGGAGGAGGAAAGTGTTCACAGAAACAATTTCTGTTTTGGAAAGTGAAAGTTTGGCTGAATTTGGGAGTAGGGCAACAAAGTTAACTGGGGAGAGGCTCATGATTCAGATAATCCTTTGAAAACACAGAAACAAAACATTACCTTGGTTACCTTCTCCATCATGAGATGAATCTGAACACATTCTGACCATTTTCAAAGTCACATGATTTATCCAGTGCCATGGATTCATGTGCTAGACCATAAATACAAATACTGACAATATTTCACTGAAGGACAGCACAGAGTACATGAATTCTGCTTTTTGAAGAAATTTCCAGAAAGCAGAGTCGGCCTGAGTCTTTCCTTCCCTTTTGCATCGGAACTGCCACATGCGGTTTTAGATTTGCTTTGAGTAGAGTTGTCCAGTTCAAGGAAGATGGTCCAACTCACACAAGAACCTTCCCTTTAGGAGCCTGCAGGGGGCGTTCTCCTGCTCTTCAGACTTCCCGCAGAGGCTGATCCATCCTAATTTGGATGGACAGTTTGAAGCTTATTTTAGAAGCGGATTTACATAATGTGACATGCTTTCAGAGGAGGCAGGTGGCACTCATACGTAAGTCAATGGGATGTGGGATTCAGTGGGATGTGTGTGGAATCGTCCCATGTTCTGAAGCATGAGACACGCTAACACCTTCTTCTGGGAACACACAGGGGTCCCTCTCATCCCTTTGTTCCCCCTTGGTTTTGGCAAATCCTCAAGTCTCATTTAAAAGCACTGCCACTGCAGTTTGTCAGCCTCGCTATTGAGTCCGAGATGTGCCATGTGAATCAGTGTCATGGAGATAAATCAGAAAACTTCCCTCATTCTCCCAAGCTCTGTCCTTCTGTGGTCTCACTCCATGGTATAAGGTTCCCATCCCCAAATGGGCAATAGAGTCATCAGGACCTTTCCTGGTTATGGATCTTCTTCCATTAGAGGAATCTCTACAAAAGAAGAGAGGGTTATTAGTTTAGTACACCAAAAAACACTGCAAATATCATGATCTTATTAGTATGAGTTTATTAAAATATCTATATTTCCTGAAATAAGTGAGCAGGAAAGGGAGAAAATGTGAACTTCCACATATCAGTGAATCAAATAAATCAACTCCTCTACCGAGTATCTACTTGCCAGAAAAGCTTACACCCCAGCTCATTAAAAAAAGGGGGGGGGATTTTAACCATGGGATCTACTAGGGGAAAGGCTAGCATTTGAGGTACAGAAGGACAGAAAGGGAGCTCCACGGGTAAGCAGGAGACTCCCATTTTCACATCATTACTGCCATTTCTGTGGATACAAGGTGGAATGAGTGTTCTCCTATGTAAATTGTTCCCAGAGCCCCCTCCCCTGGCAAAAAGAACTCTAATTAGTCTGGTACATTATTGCTACTTGTCCTTGAGATCTGTAACTTGCCTTTCCTTTGGACAGGGGCACATAATTCTTCTACGTCACACCTGAGGAAAGCAAACTGCACGTACACAGAACCTCTCCAGGGCTGGGCCCCATGCACATGCCTGGGTCTCCTCTCCTTGCACGCGTGTTATCCTGCTCCTTTGCTCTACCTACAAAATCCTGCCCAATCAAGAGGCAAAGAAGAAACACCCGCTATGAAACCCAGGGCCGCCCGTGACCGCTCATCTATTCTGGAAGGCTCGGTGCTCTATTGTGCCTCCTGAACTTTCAGTTAATGGGCTCATCACTTGTGAGACGGACAGTCACTCCTCCCAACAATTGGTCTTGCCTGTGGCATCCATGTACAGAGAGAGCAAGAAGAAATTGAACTTGAGGGGGAAATGGAATGAGTCGGCTTTGTGCCAGGTGTGTGGGGTGCATCACAAGAAGCTGGCTCGAAGATGTTGAGTGCTGGGTGCAGGGGTGTGTGAGAGGGCGGCTCCAGGCTTGAGGCAAACACTTACCATCTGCGATGTCGATGCCTGGGCTGGTGGATGCCACCTCCCCTGCTGTGCTGGCAATCGTGTCAGGGTCGTCAGAGGCTGGGAGGGTGCCCCCTTGGCCCATGGGGGTTGAATAGAGACTCTGGAGTAGTTCGGAAGAGGCCGAGACACTGTCACAGGTTTCTGAATCCCCTGGGCCCGTGTCCATGTCCCCTGAGCCGGGGTATGCTGGGGGACTCTGGTCATCTACAGGCAAGGGGCAGCCCTGGCCCATCGAGGCCAGGTACCCAGGGCCTAAGGCACTCAAGCCACCACTCACAGCCTCGTCGTAGGATGGGAGCATGACGGGCACGCCATCCACTACCACAAAGTCAGGGTCACTGCTGGAACTCCTTGGAGGGCCCCTGTGCCAAAGAAAGCGATGTCAAATAGCAGAGTGACGGGCTGCCCAGGAAAGAGGCAGCCAGTGCCCCACACAGCTACTGAGGTTCCCAGGACCTGGGCCAGCAGCAGAACCAGCCTCCCTTTGGGGGGACACTGCTGTTTACCACGGCAGCCACGCACGCAGTGAACAGAAGCTGCTTCTCTCTGCCTCCTGCTTGTTTGCCTCAGGCAGGGGCACCACCACATGCTTTCCAGTCAGGTGTCCCGGGGCGCCTCCCCCAGGGAGAACAGCTTAGAGGTGCAGTTAATCTCGGATGCCAAGTGCCCACAGGGAAAGTGTAGCCCATGCTTATCTTATGCTTCTTTTTTGTTTCCCACTAGAGTAGGAGAGTCAATCATTGTTCACCAAGATAGAAAACCAGCAGGAGGAGGAAAAAAAAGGAAAGCTCAGTGTACCATCTCACCACCTGATTCAGGCCATGGGGCTCACCCCCACACTCCACCAAGCGTCATCGGGACCTGCAGGAGCCTGAGTTGCCAGGGGTGGTGTGGGCGTCAGTGGCGGCGGATGTGATGCTTCTCAGGCGCTCCTGTTCAGGTGCACATGTAGGTCCTGGCTCTGCCCCTGCACATCCCACTGCCTGGCATTCAACACTGTGACCCTGAGCCCAGGTGGGTCTGACCTCAAAGCCTGAGCTCTGTTCGACCTCTCTCAGCTCCTGACCTGTTAGAGTGACCTGGAATGACTTCCTGGGTGGTCACGGAACTCGGTTTCTTGTTTGCTATGCTGGGAACTGGGGCTGAGGGATGTGTCCATAGGGGAAAATATCAGGAAGAGCAGATGCAGATGGATGGGCAGGTCCTGGATCTCTGACAATGGCCACAGGGCTCCACAAGCAGAGCGAATGGAATGTCTGGATGCTGGCATTTGGGGAGAGGAAGCATTAGGCCTCACCTCTCTGTAACACTCCAGGGGCCGTCTCCAGTCTGCTCAGTTTTTGGAATATGGTTCTCAAGGCTATGCAGAGAGGGAGGGAGCTGTGACCAGGAGGCTGCACAGTCAAAGGGCAAAAATATGTGCCCTTTTCTTTTTTTTATAGTTATGTTTTTTTTTTTAATGTCAATTTTCTCTTCTAATTTTTTTTGTTTAAATATTTTATTTTATGTAATTCTTACATCTGTTTTCATCTTTGCACAATGTATGCATTTTCATTTTGGTTATATTCCCCATACAACTGCACCTCCCCCCTTATTTTGACTCTAGTCCTTCCTTTCCCCGTCCCTCCCCACCCCCACCAGTGTGTCTCTGGTTTATAGTTGCTTGTTGATTTTGATTTTTACTTTGTATTGATTAGTCTTTTTCCTGGTCCCTTATTTAGGTTTCCTAAATTCCTGCTATGAGTGAGACCATATGGTATTTTTCTTTTTCTTTCTGGCTTATTTTGCTGAGCATGATCCCTTCCAGCTCCATCCATGTGGATGCAAATTACATGTGTTTATCTTTTTTGGAATGCTGAGTAATATTCCATGGTGTATATATGTACCACATCTTCTTGATCCAGTCATCTATTTTGGGGTATTTGAGTTGTTTCCATAGCTTAGCTATTGTAAATAGTGGTGATATAAACATAGGCGTGCAGGTGCCCTTTGGAATTACTGTTTCTGTGTCATTTGGGTAAATACCTAGGAGTGGAATTGCTGGATCATATGGAAGCTCTATGTTTATTAGGTCAAGAAATCTCCACGCAGTTCTCCATAGTGGTTGGACCAGTTTGCACTCCCACCAACAGTGCAGGAGAGTTCCTTTAACCAAAACAAAGAGAAACCCCACCGACTGGGAGAACATTTTTGCACACAACACTAACGATAAAGGACAGATCACAAAAATCTACAAAGAGCTGATGAAACTCAACAAAAACAAAGAAAATAATCCAGTCAAAAAATGGGCAGAAAAGCTAAAAAGAAACTTCTCTGAAGAAGAAATGCAAATGGCCACCAGGCATATGAAAAAATGTTCAGCATCACTTGTAATCAGGGAAATGCAAATCAAAACTACCATGCGATACCATCTTACACCAGTGAGAATGGCACATATTAAAAAAACTAGCAATAGCAAATGTTGGCGAGGGTGTGGAGAAAGATTTTTTTAAAAATTTTTATTTATTTATACAAGCACTGGGTACAGTCAGAAGTGCGGGATTGAGAGAATTCACCAGAGCCAGAGCGGGGAACAGAACAGGCAGACTGACGGAAATACACTGCTGAGGGGAGCAGTGGCACGGCAGGAGAGGTCTGTCGCGCCATGTGGAACCCTCGCCGGTGGCCAGGATCGAACTAACTAACACTGCAAAGGCTGTGGGCAGCTTTGCAGCCCAGCACTCAACCGTTGTGCCACCAGGGGAGGCCCAATATGTGGCCTTTTCTGAAATAAATGAGAAAAGGCTGACATGGGCACAGGATTCCAAGGAAATACTTCTGACTCAGTGGTGACAGGGGCCTGGATCAGTGAGCCCAGTGGCCAGGGCTGTGTTGTTTGCTGCCCTGCCACTTTCCTACTGTGCAATGATCTTTGCTTTCTAAGCATTTCCTCCTTCCAGCAACAATGATCTGCCAGCGGCAGTGCTGGGTGGTTCTTCTTTGTTCTGGGGGATGGTGGTGTAGTTTGCTGGGCACAAGTTATAGGGAAAGAGAGGGGAGGGACCCAAGAAGGGGTCCCAAGATGCTCTGCACTCTGGGTGCTAGGCCTGCTCATGAGGGAGTCAGACAAACTCCTCTTCGGTGAAGCCCACTAGGAGGATGAAGAATCCAACCCAAGCACATCCGTGCAGCAGACAACCTCTGTGGGCAGGTCCCACCCACACACTCAGGCACCCTTGGAGCAGGTGCTGATGAGGTGTCCATCCTGACGCCTCACCCATCTTCAGACTTCCCTTCGCACACAGATTTTGAGCCTCAGTTGGGTCAGACACCATTGACCTTGTCTCCTGATTAGTTCTATGTATTTCTCATGTGCCCTGGACTGGAAGTGCCCATGTATGGACTCCAGAGCCACTTGCATGCAACTGGCATTGGGGATGGAGACCCTGGCAGGGCTGGGCCCAGCATGCAGCCTTGACACCATGCCCCATCCACACCCCCATAATGCCTGCTTTGAGACTGTAGATCCAGGAAGGAGGCAGATAAGGGTTCCTGGAGGGCAGTAGGAAGAGGGAAATGAGGTTGTCCCTCCCAGACTCTGATCTCCAGACACCCCAAAACATCCCAGGTAAAGTGCTTTTACTCTCTATTCCCCTTAGCAGCTCAACTTTGCCCTCAACAAGGGCCAGGCTCACCAATTTCAATCTTTGCCAGTGTGCCAGCCTGGGGTGGCTGCGGGCTGCCAAGGTCCCAGCACTGACCTGGGGGGAAAGTGGGCCTTGAACTTGGTCTGGAACATCCTGGCCAGGATGACGAGCAGCAGCACCAGCAGCACGCTGGTCGCCGTGAATGCTACAATCTTCCATGTGGTCAGGAGGGTCTCATGGGTGCTGGGCCACGTTTGCTCTGTCGTGGGAGAGAACGAAGCAGCAAGTGAGGCTACTGGACTATGATGGTGCTGAAGTTCCCAGCATCTGTTTGCTGGGTTTATCTCATCATATGCCCGGGGTGCTCCCCAAGCAGGTCCATGTTACAGGACATCAGGATCACACTACACTAAAAAAAAAAATACCCTCTCCACCAGACTGTAGAGACCAGCATGTTCACATTCCATACCTGGTGGCACAGCCTGGCATGGAATTAAATAATGTACCTGCCTCTCAGGCAGAGAATGATGGGGTTACTCTCCTCTAGAGAAGCCATGTTCCGTGGTGGGCCAACGGCAGGGCATGGGAAGCTGGATTTGAGTGTTTTGTGAGCTTTCTGGGATGAATTGTTGTTTGGTGTGAAGACAGGGATAGAAGGATAATGGGGACATCCCTCTTCAACAGCCCTCAATCCCCATACCTCTGGTTATCTCGTGTCTGCAGGGCTGGCATTCCAGAAGAGATCCCTTTTGGTTTAAGCCCTGTCTCTTATACCTCGCCCTCCTTTGCTGCCAGCTTCGCCCCTCCTCTGTCTCAGAAGTTGTCCTCTTGGAGTTCCCTGGACTCCTCCGGCACAGGTTCACGTTGCCTGCTGGAGGCCTGCAGAGGCCCTGGGCCAGTAAACACTTCCCCCATGTGCTGGAATCATGACTGGTCAGGGTAGGCAGCCTCAGGCATGCCTGGGAAACAGGGGATGAGTGTGCAGGACTGGGAGGGGGTAGGAGAGGTAGGGGTGTGTGTGTGCTGGTGCCCTTTATGATGTGCACTCCCTAGTGCACGGAGACCACAGCCAGCAATTCGTTATTAACTAAAAAGCGCTGAAGCTCGTGGACAGCCTATATGTTTATAAATGAAAACAGATCTCAGTTATAATATAGTTGTCTCCCCTTATCCACCGAGGATATATCCCCATCATTCTTATCCACTGCGGGATGTTCCATGGTGGATACCTGAAACCATGAATAGTACCAAACCACACACACACACACACACACACACACACACACACACACACACACACAATGCTTATAACATAAATATATGTATATACATAGATAATGCTTTTTTCCTATACAGACTTACCAATGGCAAAGCTTACTTTATAAATTAGGCACGGCAAGAGATTAATACTAATAGCAAATAAAATAATAAAATAGGACAATTATAACAATTTGGCCTAATAAAAGTTACATGAATGTGGTCTCTCTTTACAAATATCCTTTTGTACATAATATTTTCAGACCATTGTTTACTGCAATTAACTGAAATGTGTTCTTGAGTGGAAGAGAAAGGTGAGGTCACACCCATGAGCCCATGTTCTTCCAGTGGAGGGGTGAGCCTGGGAGAAGACAGGGTGCAGAGGTGAAGGAGTCTCCCCAAGGTTGCAAGGGGGTGGGGACCCTGCTCACAGGGAAAGCATTTTAACCTGTGGTTGGGCAGGTTAAAGCACAGGACCTGGAACTATTAGTTGTGAGTAACCACAAAGGTAAGTTTCTCTATCTTTTTCCTCACAGCACTTGTGGGAACGGAGGGAAGGCACCGGGGATGCAACTTCCAGCCACCGTGTGTAGCTTGTGAGCCCGTGAGACTGGCGGGGAGGGCAAGGCCTGGATGAGTTTACCTGACTTGATGCAGTAGACTTGATAGGAAGGAAACCACTCCCCGTACTGGCAGGTGATGTACTTGTAATCACTGGTGAGGCTGTAGCCAGGATCGCAGTAAAACTCCACCACAGTTCCATGGTTGTAGCGCTCACAAGGCCGCGGGTGGCAGATGAAATCACCATGACTCACCATTGGAGGTAGCGGGCAAACTTGGGCAGTGGGGGAGAATAAGAGTTTCAGAACCACGTGCTCATCCCTGTCAGCCACCCCCCAAGCAGAGATGGGGAGAACGCACAACTCAGAGATGTGCTGTGACATTAATTGCCAGAAGAGTGAGTTGTCCCTTTCGTATTGTCACGTGAGGTCAAACAGATGTCCACTATAATATTCTGACCAAGTGCGGCTCTCATACGGCTTGGTAAAGGACATTGTAAAAGAGTTTTACACTGCAAAGAGTATGCCTACCTAATAGACAGTATTAAGCTACTCTATTAATAATGCATGCTATTATGTGCCAGACAACCTAGTAAATAAAATTAAGATATTTATGGGCAAAATCTTTACTGAAAGGAATAGCAATCCCGAGTCTTGCTTCTGTGACTACAGGAGTAATTTGGGACTGTCCAAATCCCTGGGTGTCCCTAACTCGATACCCAAACGCCTCATTGAGGGTTGGTTGTTGAGAAATATGCAGCAATTCTGCCAGCTCTGCAGGCAGACCCAGGTCTCAGCCTCTTGCTCCTGGGCCCCCTGACCAGTGGGTGACCAGCCTGGGGTTCTGGGAGGAGACCCCAGGTTCTAGGCTTGATTCTGCCACCAACACACAGCATGACCCCATGCACATCACCTGACCTCTTGAAGCCTTGATTTCCCCCTCTGAAAAAGGGGAGCTTATTCTACCCTACATGATGTTTTACTGTTTTTCTAACTGGAGTACACTATGATTTCAAGGGGGAAATGTTTTCAATTTTCCCTCTTGAGCCTGCCCTCTGGTGAGTACACACTCTACTGAGGCCGGCTTCAAACTCATACATCTGGAGATGACTAAGAACTCTGACACATACACAAAAGTTAACTTTTGAGCCCCTTCTCTGGTGCTCCTGATGCCCTGACCAGTGGAGAGCCACAGGCACACTTCACAGCTCATCCTCACACAGGCCATATCCATGGGGGCACTGCTCACCCCACACTGGCCACCAGAAGGCCACAGAAAGCACACTGGCACATCATAGCAGCAACATGTGCCCACTGAGGCCAGATAACCAGGTGGGCTCCTGTTCAGGGGGCCCACCCAATGGAGGCGTTCCAAGGTATGGGGATGAGGGTCAGTAGGGTAAGGAAAAAATGTCAGGCTTTTCTGCCCTCCCGCCATCAGCATAGATGATGGATCCTTGCAGTCCTGAATGCATGCCTGATGGCGGGCACCTGGAGTAGGGTGTGGGCATAGGTAGATGGGATTCACCTGGGCTGAGACTGGGCTTTTAAGGGCGGCATCACGGGGGCTCCAGCAGAAGCCGATGAAGAAGCCGAGAAGCAGCAGAACGAACAGAAGAGCAGAGAAGCAGAGAGAAAGCCGGAGAGCCCAGATAGTGAGGATTTGCTGGGGGCTGGAAGGACTGCCAGCCTCCCGGCCCACCAGCACCCCTGCCTGCCATATGCCTGATAAACCCCAATAAAAACCTGCAAAACCACTGAGGACTCTGACTCCTCCTTTACCCCTGTCTGCTGGATCCTATTAAACCTGCACTGTGTCCATTCCTGCTCTTACAGGGTCTCTATAGACACTATGTCTAATCCTGCAAACAATGTGGCAATAAGACCTTCTTGGTTCTTTGAGAGATAAGGAAACAGAAACCCAGAGAGTTCAGGTTTTCCAGAAGCAGCTAGAGGAGCAGGTTTGGAGCTCAGGCTTCTCCAGGCAGGCTGCTGTCTGACTCACTCACCACCCCATGACCCTGAACTAGTTGCTTCTCATCTCCGAGCTTCCATGTCCTCATTTGTAAAGCAAGAGCGTCTGAGGGTTATTCTGAGAAAGGCTGGCAAGGCTTCTGTTCAGAGCTGACAGAATGTAAGTGGAAAGTGGGGAGAGCCGGGTCAGAGTGGCCAGGAGAGGACTGTAATGAGGTAATTGCTTGTAGATGTGATAGAAAAACTAATGAGATGGGTGGGAGGTCCCCTGAGATTACCAGTAGATGGAAGCCACTCCCTCCCCTGCATGGGCAGGATGAAGGGGTCCTGGTTACTGGCTCACCCGTGTAAGTCGGAACCATGGGGTATAGTCTGAATGCTGCCCGAGATAGCCCCTGGACAGAGGGTCAAGGGGAAATGGCTGGGCCTCTCTGCCTGCTGCCTGCCAGGGTTCCTCTGGACAAAGTCAGAGGGAAGACAGCTGGTCAGGGGGATTGGGAACAGGCCTGCAGGGGGCAATGCAGGGGAAGGTCTAGGAATGGCCCCATGAACTCCAGGAGTGGGGGCTGTCAGGTGACTGCTGCTTGGTCCCACAGGCGGTCACTGGCAGTCAGGTCTAGAGCCGTGACTTTGAGGTAGAGGACATGTCCTGGACTAGCTGGCCCCTTCCCCAGGGCTGCCCAGCATGAGGAGTCCCATCACCCATCACATTTCCAGGCCAAAACCAGAGATCTTGTCAAATCACTACCTCCAAGGTGTCTCACGAACATCCCCTGGGAACAAGGGCGCAGGGAAGGGAAGGACAGCTGGTCAGAAGGAAATAGAAAAAGTCACCAGCAGCATTCAGCTGGCCCTGGGTCGCCCCAGGGACATGGCAGCAAAGGCACTTTCCTCCACAGAAGCCCTGGAGAAACACAGGGAAAGGAAAGCACTCTGGGCTCAAGCACATGCCAGCCCAGGGAGGGGCCCAGAACTACATACCTGGGCTGAGGGACACCGCCACAGAGGGAGGGCAAAAGGTCTTGCGGGGAGATTTGAAGCCACTGAGAAACCAGCCTGATCTTCTCTACCATCTCAACCATCCCGCGGCCTCCAGCCGCCCGTGACTGCCAGCGTCCTTCCTGTGTCAGGGCTCTACAGAGCAGCGGGCACCCCTAGCAGGCCCTCCAAGCAGTCTCCGAGGAGCAGAAAATTGCCAGAAGGTTTTCAAGACCCAGAAAACCTTCTGAGAGGTGGGAAGAGGCCCCATAAATGCATGCAAGTTTATCAGCAGCTTCCTCCTCCCTTGGCCTGAAGAAAAGGACTGCTCAATCTTTGCCTCAACCCCGAGGCAAGTGGTCCCAGGATGTGCTGAAGAAGGACAGGGCTGCCTGGATCAATCACTCAGTAAGGGGATCATTTAAGAAGGGAAGGTGGAGATACGGGAGGTGCCCCCTGGCACAGCTGCAGGAAGCCCCAAACTTAGGTTCAAATCCTCCCTCTCCTGATGAGCTGGGGGGTGTCAGCAGCTTGTTTTACTTCTTGAGGTTTTAGCTTCCCCATCTGTACACTGAGAAATGATTCCTAACTCCCAGGGGTGTTGTGAGAACTAGAAGGTGCCTGTCAAGTATGTAACACTCGGAACCCAGCAGACACGTAATGAATAACAGCATGTAGTATCAGGAGCCCCTCCCAGGATGGGTGCTGCCAGGCCTCTTATGCAATTGGGATTCCTGGATTGCACCAGGCCAGTCCCATGCTTTCCTGTACAGAATCTGGATGCATCTTATCACTGTTTTCTCAGAGGCCAGATAAAAACCACCCATTGTAGAAGCTTTAATTCCAGGACTGTCATAACCAGCTGCTAATGGAGATGCATGTCCCCCTGGGCAGAAACATTCATCTCCACACCTTGCAGTGTTTCTGCGGATCACACCTGGCCAACCATTAGCTTTACTGCCAGGGAAACCCCATGTGTCCTAGGAGGGGCAGAAGTTGAGGGTGTCCTTTTAATTTTGAAGAAAATGACAATAGAGAGCTGTTAATTTAAATTTGGGAAGGTATTCCAAAGATAACAATATACGAATACCTGTGGCTCAGGGGTCTCCCACACCACCCCCCCAGCCTCTCCCTGGGTTAAACTGAGTTCTGTGACGTCTCTCCTCTCTGTATAGCCCCCCTCTGCAAGAGGCAGGCACACCTAGACACAGATGACACCCCCACAACCGGAGGCCCTAGGCACGAGGGGAGAAGCCATATTCCTGACCACATGGCTAACAGGAGGGAAGAACCCATGTGTTCTTGGAAGTCCCAGGTGGTCTGAGTGGAACTGCTTTCCTTAGAACTGCCTCCGGTTGGGCAGCCACTCGGACCCTGTTGGCCGCCAGTTCTAAGCAAAATCATACCCGTGAAAACCCGTGGGTGGTGTGAACAAAGATTCTACTGCAAGTCTATTTTTTAAAAACGTTTTTCACAACTTTTGAAATTATTAGCAACTGTAAAGGCTTTTGTGAGGCACAGAGTGCCAACATAGGGTGGTTACAGGCAGAATGTGAGAGAGGCTCTGCTGACACTGGTCCCAAAGACTCACCTAGCCCATGCTCTGCCATGGCAGAGGGTCATGGGTCCTTCCTGGTTAGCAGGGCAATCCCTGCTTATCCCAGTGGCAGTACAGTCCTCATCCTACTTCGTCTCTCATGGGCTGGATTCAGGAAGGGCATAGACCTACTGCAGAAGGACAGCTCTAGTTGCAATGTGGAAGCACAGACTGGGACAGAAGTGACAAGGCTGCAGGAGGCTGATATCCAGCTGAGAGAGGACGGCAGCAGCACAGAATGAGAAGTAAGTGATGGAACCCATTTTAGGACCTGTTGCCAGAGGGAAATGTAGGCACAGGGCGGAGGGCATTAAGGATGGGTCCCTGGTTTCTGACATTAGCCCCTGGAATGGAGGCACCAGTCACCATGAAGTGCTTGCTTTGTAGGGGAAGGCGCGAAGATGTGGGTTTCACACTGGTTATGTCGGAGCTGCCAGTGAGAGCCAGCGAAGCAGCCACCAGGCAGTTGGAGAGAGGGTCTGGTTAAGTCTGAGCTCAGGAGTCAGGAGCCAGGAGCATAGAGGTTAATACTTAAAACCATGAGAAGAGAGGAACTCATCTGAGGAGAGAGAGGGGAGAGAGAAAAAGAAGGGGTGCCAGGTCAAATGCTGAGTTGGGGGTAAAGGAGACTGGCATATCACCAAAGCCAAGAGAGGAATCTGTTTTGCAGAGAAGAAACTGGTTCCCAGCAAGCCAAGAAAGATGGGAACAGAAATGTGACCTCTG